ATTCTACTGTAACATACTGAGGCGTAGCGTGAGACAGGCTTCACGATATGATAAAGACACAAACATCCAGACAGGATGTTTGTATCATAAGCATTCAGAATCCGTCCAAACACTAGTAAATTACACTAATTAGACCAGATACAGTGTTCACATAACAACTCCACACGATTCTGACCTGAGCTAGCTGGAGTTGTAGAATGGTTTTAACCATCTCAGAATAGGATCGCCTGGTAGGCTGTTGTAAATAGAGTAATGACCTAGATTTGAAATTATTCACGGTGGTTGAGAACGTGGATTGGTTGTGACATAGTGTAGTTGTGTAAGGTGTAACAGCCCTGAAGTCTACACTCCACGGGAATGAATGTTCGAGTTCCATAAACACGGGGAATTTCTTAATGAGCTACAATTACTCAAGATGGACTCAGTTCCACGGAGATAATCGCATGCACAGACTACTGGAATATGAAGTGTGAGTGATTTCCAAGAGCAAAGAGAGAAGGAAAGTGGGTAGATAGACGGTGACTAAGAGAGGTCGAGACAAAGCAATTTACCAACACAACACAGTGTAGACTGAAGCTGACAACGCTTAACGAGAGCTGCATTTTTCCATGATCGTGGATGAAGCGACTTGTGTGGGAATTTATTAGCGCAAATTTTCCTGGCCATTACATCACCATATATATGTGTCGAGAGTGTAATATGGATGTCCACGTTCTACTGAATTACAGCATATTTTTATTATTATTATTTTTTGTCTTCCTTTTATACAATTTTTAGCTACGCGTTCTTTTCTGTGTGTGCGACAAATTTTTACGGACCATATAACATCTTTTTTCACAACAGGGGGTGTAAGAGGGGGTTTACTGGACCCTGGTAGAATGCATGTAGCGGACAGCGTGAGTGGTAGGGGGACATTTGATTTACTTCCCGTTCTATGCTCCGGTGCCCCCAGTCTCCCGGAAATATTAGCAGCGGTTTGCCCGTAGGAAGAGGCGACATGAGCCGAGGATTGGGATTTATTTGACAAAACGTATCTTCCTGCAGGACAGTGCTCTAAGGCTGAAACCATCACTGAACGACGTTCCTTTCTGAACAGCACAGTGCCTGTCCGTGTTCCAGATACATTATTTAATTTGTGTTATACCAGCTGTTAAATTTATGACAATGGTGGATCCGAGGTTGATTTGAACGGGTTGAAAACCTGGTCTCTCAGCCTAAAGGAAAAATATTATTAACACCTTAAAACCCAGTTGAAATTGCAGACTGACTTACCACCTGCTTTAATAGCCAATACTTCTGTAATTAGTCAGCAAACTGCATATCTGGGTTTCTTATAATTGTCAGATAGCAATGATTTGTATTAACCAACTAAACTTTATAATGAACAAATGTTTTAAGGGACGAACTGAATGTTTAAATATTGTTTTGATAAACTTCGGGTTACAATCTTCAACTTACCCTCAACAGAAAATAAAGTGTGTACTACCTGTTAACCCTCACAACCGAGAAATTTTTCCCCATCCCGTCAAATATAATATCTCTCACTACTATCCTTCCACTTTATCTTTTTTCTCTCTTCTTGAGATTTAAAGGGTTGAGGGAGTATGAGTACAAAATGCTGGGAAGAATATTAGGGCCTAAGACAGAGAAGGTGACAGGACGTTGGAAAAAAAATGAATTGTGACGAGCCTCGTAATATGTAAACATGCAAGGGCCCCGTAGTTTTCTTGGACATTGCACTGGAAAGGCAAATTAAAATGCCATTACAAAAATAAACCGAACCAATGAATTGTGTTTTCACTCCCCAACATTGCTATATTAACATGCTATTGCTGTGATCATTACAAATGTACCTTCTTATTAATTCGATTTCTCAGTTTTCTGTATCAAACAGATTGCGGTCTTCGCCTATTTTGTTCACAGAACTTCTCTGAAGCCCACGCATTCAGTCGTGAACATTTTTCATTTCAGTACAGTAGGCCTATAAATGTTTCCGCGGTAGCTGAGGGCTCTACGACCTTGGTCTGATTCCCAGCAGGGCAGAACTGTTCTCTTCATCACGACCTCCGAACCGGCTCTGGGGCCCTTACTAGGTTCTTTACTCCTGGGTAAAGCGACTTTGACTTGAAGCCGATCACTCATCTCTATCTATGCCGATGTTACGAATGCATGGAGATATATCTCCACTCCCCCCATACGTCTGCACAGCGTGGTGCTTAGTTAATTACGCATAAGGAAAGTTTCCTTTAACTGCAGTATGATTTTGACTGTGATGGAATCCACCTGCATCAGCAAATGGAAAATTGGGGTTTGAGATTTCGTACTCTGGTTCTGTTCCCAAGATAAAAAATCCGTGTGGTGCCAAGTCTGTTCTTTCCATTACGCATGGCATGACAAGAGGGTGGTGTATAGCTCACCCTGCAGGGGACCATTAATAGGTTCCGTACAAGCGGTTGGGGTGGCTGAGAGAGGGTACAAAATAAGACGCTGTAGTATCTTTCGCACGATTTGCCTCAGCATAATGTCACGGCTTGAATTGTCTCCACTGACGTCACACTTTTCCTTCTTCATCAAAGAGGGGATACAATAATTATAGTGCATGGAACTTTCTTTCTTTCTTTTAGTTGTTTTTGCTGCGCATTTAATCGATACTCGTTGGCAGTTTGGCTGGTTTTTTGCTTTCATATGTTCCCATTATACTGCCCGGATGTTACGTCGAATAATGCAACTTGAGAATTCATAAGATAGCGTGATTGGGTAGAGGAATACAGGATGCAATATTAGTTCAAAGAACTCCCAGCATTTACTTGTACCATAAAGAAGAAGGCATTGTGTTCCTCTGAAATATCATTGAGCACCTACAGACTATACAGTGTCAGAAACTACAAGATGATCTGAAAACTGAAAACGGTGAAAACCTCAAAACTACAAATTTGAAAAGGTGTCCTGTTTGGAACACACATAGACTCCAAAACCGTTTCTTGTACCACATTTTATGGACACGCTTCTAAACATTTTCTAGTGACAACTACTTCATCAGTGCCTATGACTTCATCCAGGTTGCTGACGTCATAATGTGTAGACGATTGTAGGTAATTGCGTCGTCGTTGTCCTACCACAAGTCTGTGCGCATCCATCGCGTTGGTATTACCTATTGTATGAAAATTAAAACGTACTGTACAATTTTTGGATCAGACTAGAATGACATAACAACCAGACTAAACGCGATGTAAACCGGTTCATTCTTGACTTGTTACCTTCGTATAGACGGACACATCATCATGCATAAACAGATGAATATGGGTTTTTGCATCTTTCCACCTCACGAATTTGAGCATCCGTCACATTGGTATTACCACGTGTAGGAAATGAAAAATTACCATTGTGGAAAGGCTCTAATTGCATAATTGTGTTCAAAATTTCATGATAATCCGTTTTCGAGTTCCAGAAAGTTATGGTCGAAACTATAATTCATAAGACCACCGATAGATAACAGCACGACCTCTTCGGCCGCTACGTTTTGTGTTCCTCAACAGTGTTATTTTATTGTTACTATTACAGTGAGTCACACTTCGATTTTGACTAATATGTCGAATCCATACCAACTAAAATCAAATCCACCCAATTTTCCATGGAAGCCCCCAGTACCATATTATGTCAGGAAAATTTCGAATGTCAGACATAAGGAGGGACAGTCATGGACTCGACATCTTTATTACGAATTCACATAATACTCATTTTGCAAACAACGAGGAGAATTATTCGACGTTTTAAAGCGATCCTAGTTTTCATTGCTGTTCATCAACAGAAATATGACAGCACACCGTGCATAGGAAAGCAGAAACCATCGCGGTCATTAAAAATATCATTATAAGAAGAAGGCATTGTGTTCCTCTGAAATATCATTGAGCACCTACAGACTATACAGTGTCAGAAACTACAAGATGATCTGAAAACTGAAAACGGTGAAAACCTCAAAACTACAAATTTGAAAAGGTGTCCTGTTTGGAACACACATAGACTCCAAAACCGTTTCTTGTACCACATTTTATGGACACGCTTCTAAACATTTTCTAGTGACAACTACTTCATCAGTGCCTATGACTTCATCCAGGTTGCTGACGTCATAATGTGTAGACGATTGTAGGTAATTGCGTCGTCGTTGTCCTACCACAAGTCTGTGCGCATCCATCGCGTTGGTATTACCTATTGTATGAAAATTAAAACGTACTGTACAATTTTTGGATCAGACTAGAATGACATAACAACCAGACTAAACGCGATGTAAACCGGTTCATTCTTGACTTGTTACCTTCGTATAGACGGACACATCATCATGCATAAACAGATGAATATGGGTTTTTGCATCTTTCCACCTCACGAATTTGAGCATCCGTCACATTGGTATTACCACGTGTAGGAAATGAAAAATTACCATTGTGGAAAGGCTCTAATTGCATAATTGTGTTCAAAATTTCATGATAATCCGTTTTCGAGTTCCAGAAAGTTATGGTCGAAACTATAATTCATAAGACCACCGATAGATAACAGCACGACCTCTTCGGCCGCTACGTTTTGTGTTCCTCAACAGTGTTATTTTATTGTTACTATTACAGTGAGTCACACTTCGATTTTGACTAATATGTCGAATCCATACCAACTAAAATCAAATCCACCCAATTTTCCATGGAAGCCCCCAGTACCATATTATGTCAGGAAAATTTCGAATGTCAGACATAAGGAGGGACAGTCATGGACTCGACATCTTTATTACGAATTCACATAATACTCATTTTGCAAACAACGAGGAGAATTATTCGACGTTTTAAAGCGATCCTAGTTTTCATTGCTGTTCATCAACAGAAATATGACAGCACACCGTGCATAGGAAAGCAGAAACCATCGCGGTCATTAAAAATATCATTATAAATTTCTCATACCGCGTCAACGAAAACGGAACCAGAACTTGTGTTAGTCAGGGTAGCCAATATTGTAAATGTTGCAACTGTAATGTTTTGTATGGAAATATATTGAAGTTACTGTGTTGTATTGTACTGTATTGTATTTTATTTTATTGTACTGCACTGTAGTGTATGTCCGATTTATGTTTGAAAGTTTGATGTGTGCAGGTTTAAGAGTAATAAATACGATGTTATGCAATGTGTCTAATATATATAAAGATTGCCAAGATGTCATCTCACATGTGGATTGAAACAAAGTGAAAGAATTTTCAATAAAAATACAAAAATATTGCAGTAGATAATGCGAATTGTTTATGCTTTTAAATGTGTGACAAGTAGTTTAGATAGTTGGCAACTGCAATTATATGTGTGGCGCCAGACAATCTAATCTGCGTCGTATGAGTGATAGTGATAAATGATTTCAATTTTATGCACTTCTCTACTGTGGTGAATACTGTCGGCAGTCGTTTATTCGTTATAGTCAAAAACAGGTGAGAATTAATTTTTCAATGTAAATGTAAACACTTTCTTGTTAACATAACCTAACATTTCATTTCATAACATGAATAAGTTTTTGCAGTTCATTGCAACGTGTTGTATTTTGGATGTTTTATTCAGTATTGTGAATTTCTGCTCACGATGAAGAAATTTACTGGTTATGATTTAGGTTAAAACACATAAAGGCAAGTTCAAATATTTTCTGTCTTTTGGTTGCAATAAAATTGAAAGTAATATTCTGCATTATGTTACATATCATATTCATTATCTTCTTTATTTAAACATTTCCTTTAGAGAGACTGATGTTGTCTGAAAGGAAATATGTGCATGTTAATCGAATTACGAATATGTTACAAGTATGTGTCTGTTACATGATCCTGCTGATGACATACTGCTAACATTGTACTCACAGTAACCACAGTATTCCTTGTTATGTGTAGTAATTACTGTGGACAGAATTCACTACATCAATCACTTAGAATATTTCTTTCTGCTGACTGTAATAAAAGCAGATAGTAAAACAGTTTTGTTAGTAAATGGTAACAGTTCTGAATTTATTGTCCTCTTAAGTTTAAGTCTTGATTTTGCTTATTATTATTTCCAGGTATGTTCAGTTGAAATGTTTTCTGGTGGTTGTTGTAGTACATCATGACTGTATTTTAGATTTTGCTTTAGTTTCATGCTCATGCACTGTATTTACTTTTATCTATAAAGTTTTGGATATAATTTGTATTTGTCATGTAGAGAAATTCTGTACTATTTTTATGACATTTATGGTGTTATCAATAGGGCTATATATAGTTGCCTGATTTTGGCCATTTAGTTCCATTTCTTCTAGATCAGTTTGGATATTACTGATGCCATACTTTATATCAGTATTAAAATAAAATGGGAATGGCATTAGCCATAGTGAAATAGATAAACATGAGACAAATACATACACACTTTATGAGTCTGGGTAGCTCAGTCAGTATAGTGTCTCACTATGAACTGGACAACTGGGGTTTGATCCCAGGCAGGGGCTCTGTATCCATACTGGCCACTCGCTCCCCATCTAGTTCTGAGGTCAAGAATGAGTAGGAGCTGTACCTCTTCTTTCTCCAGGCATCTCTATTGCATGTAGAGGAACTGCTTTACTTTACTACACATATACACTTTACCTTTTAAAAATGTTTGGTAATTATATCTGCCACCTTTGTTTTGCCCATTGTGTGTATTAATTGGTTTGATTTTTGTAGTAGATATATGCTGTGAGTTTCTTGGAGGTAAGAAATAGATTTTTAAGTATTGTATAGATGTACTTTGGCTTCGAATGGTTAACTGGCCCAACAAGTTCTTACTGTATCTTTAATTTAATTAGTCTTGAATAAGGCTTTTCATACACTTTATTGGTTCATCTGGTAAACACTGGTATAACACTTCAAAATACACCATGGTTCTACGTATCAAATCTTTTCCCACAAACATACCATAATTATCATAACATTTCTTACTTTATAGTAAGTTATTTATGTATGCATTTGATGAATTGCTGTGCAGTGAAGCAGAAACAAATATCATTGATGTAAGACATATCCTATTATCTTTGAATGTATTTTGAGACATATTGCACATAATACTGAAGGAGATCTTGCAGGAGGGGAATTATAATGTTAATATTGGTGTCTCACTTAATGTGGACCCCTCTACAACAGCATTTTGCAGCAACAAACAATTGGTAAATGAGTCAGTCATGATGCAGAACAAAAGGCTGTAGGCAGGTTATGATTTATGTAGGTAAAAAGCCATGACTTAAATGAATGTGTTGATCATGGTTTCTCTAAAACATTATTGTCTACCTATGAATCTACAGCCCATAAGAACCGTATTTCTCACATCAAACAGCGTGATATTCACATTTGTATTTAGCTTTCTGTATAAAGGTGATAGCTAATAAACTGCGTGAGACAGGCAAGTGACATTTTGTGTGGAGATGCAGCACAAATTTTTGTTCACTGGATGAAGCTTTTTTAATATATATTTTAAATTACAAATGTTTGATGATGTGCAACTTTGAGGTTATATCAGGCACATTTATCATATTGGGAATATACTGGCAGTAGTGAAAATTATGTGCATAAATAGGTCATTAGTTCTTTTGTTATTAATTTGTAGTTTTTCATAGCTCACAATACAGATTGAAGAATGTGAAGGAAAGTAGGAATTATTAGTTCTTTCCAGACTTTGTTGTTTGTGAGATGAGCTGTTGAGGAATTTAATCAACGTGTGTGTTATCTTAGAACATGTGTTTGGACATGTCTTTTAACATTTCTTCCTAATTTTTATATTTTATAAGGAGGGAATAGGTTTTGATTTCATTGTGTGTGTGTTTTTATATGAATGCCTATCCTTCCTTACTTCCATCCACATATTTATGATCACCCAATTTCTAGATTTTTAGGGGGTGTTCAAGTTTGTGTTAAGAAATTTCCAAAACAAACAGTGGAACTACAGTGTGTTCACTCACCTCTGCCAATTTTGAATTTCAAGAATCTTGTTAGTCGAAACAAGATGGGCGACATATAACTCAAATGGCTCCACTACCTTCCAAAAATGTGGATGCAGGAAGAGTTATGGAAAACTGTTTCTAGATCCAGTTTAGTACGAATTTATGTTGATTAGAAAATAATTGGGGGAAATGGTTCAAAAGTTAAATTGAAGTTAAAGAAAATGTGTCTGTCCCCAACTTCTGAACAGATAAGCTGGTGTTTATTGAATGGCATGTGGACGTCATGCCTTTTGAAGTTAATTCCTATTTTCACTCTTACAAACATGGCAGATATGTGATCTACTGATGTGGCTGGTGTCATTTATTGTAGGGCCTTTGAAATGTGTATGGTCGTTGATTTTTTAAGAATATGCAACTTTGGTCAGAGGCTTATTCTTACACAGTGTAAAATAACAACACAGCAACTAGACAAAATCGTTGTTTTGATTTCTGTTTTCAACAATGACGTTAGATTAATGTTAAGTTTAGTTTACTTTTTTAAAAATGTTATCGCTCTGGTATAAATTAAATGTTATATGCAAATAGTTTCAATTACTGAATATGTATGTAACTTAAAACTTAGATTTTGAAGGTTTTGGGGTTTTATTATTTATGGTTCAGATAAAATGTCGGACCAGTACTCTGCAGTGGAAAATTGTCGACATTTTTCTCCTTTTCTTTCTAATGAAAAGAATGTTGTTGCTGTTGCAATTTGAGGTTTGAGGTGCTCATGGCTGTGAAGATGTAGACAGATACCAGTATTTCAGAGGAACATACTGACCTCCATCTTCAGCCCTGAGTCTACATGATGTTACAACCCATAAGACCAACATTATTATCCTGAGCTAATCTTTCACACCAGGTGCATGCTGTCAGAATGTTAACTACTAGTTTGCATGTTCAGTTGTTAATTGCTATCTTTCCTTATTAGTCCCCTTTCCAGAATTGAAAGGGGACATAATTTCTTCGTTGTTTGTGTACATTTGTTTTGTTGTGTCTGATCTGGACTTCCTTTTGTAATTTTTTTATTTGTTTTGAAATTTCAGGTGCCACTTCTTCACACATCGTGTCATTTGGAGTTCAATTTTAAACTTATCCTCCATTTATAATCAGGCTTATTGCTTCGTTTATGATATGGAATCCATAAAAGTTTGAGTCTCGTTTTACCATTTTGCATGATACCATATTTTTATGGTGAGGCATTATCAGCTGCATGTCTAGCCTCCAAGGTGGATTCAATATGAGAAATATTCTTAAATAAGCATTTTTAATTGTTATGTAGACATATATATTCTTGAGAGTCCAGTTTTTATTGGCAAAAGATTAATTTTAGTGCCCCAAATGGAAGATACATATTTTCACATGATTGGCATGTTAGGAAATTGGAATCAACTGTAAATTCAAATTTTCTTACGTATTTATTAAATCCGCAAAATGATTTTTTAATTTCAACCCGATTAGCATACGTTTGAGCAACAGGGATTGGGATTTGGATATGTTTAAATAATAAATTGAACAAATATTTTTTGAATCTGCGTATTCTCTGGAATTTTGTTGTTATTCGGTTTAAAAAAACTAATATCCCTGCAAGTGCATGGACCGTAAAATGTAAATGAAGTAAGGAATACTTTATTTTCAGATTTAATTACCTTAAAATCCGACCATTAGCCTGTTGTGTACATACTATTAGAATTAAAATACTTGAAATGTAAAATGAAAGAATTTTGTTTACTGTCGCACAAAAATCCCTTTGTACCAGAGAAGGGCGTAAATAGGAATTTGTTTTGTCTGTCGCTTATTGCGAGTGCACTAACATTATAAATTAACAGTCCCACTCGCTCTCTCTCAGCACTGTAAGTAACTCGCTGCCTTTCAAGTCTCCCCAGAGAATTCTTAAATGGTTTCAGGTTTTCTACTGTAGAATACCGTTAAGGCAGTCGTTAATATTTTGTTTAATGGAATTCATCCATTGGTGTGGCTGCTTTCGAAAGCTTGATTGCAGGCATGAACTCATATCTGCACATCTTAGTTTACATTGTACACAAGACTATCCAGAGTAAACCTACTCATTATATAGGAGGCTGACAGAGGCCTTGAGTCTTTTTAGATGTGATATTTAGCAGATGGGAGGAAGGATAATCTCAGGCGGGATCTATGGGAGATAGGAGTTGAAGGAAACTGGATTTTGTTGGCCCAGGACAGGGTCCGGTGGAGGGCTTTGGTTAATTCGGTGATGAACCTTCTGGTTCGGTAAGCCATCTAGTTAGTTAGTTAGATATTTAGCAGAAACCTTCCAGTTTTCCTTACAGGTATCCGAATTGTTGTCTGTTGTCCAATAGCCAGTGAGTTCACGGATTCATCGCATGTTGTTCCATATTGTTATAAATTACTACGTATATAATATCGTACTTGCTGCAGATATGATTCTGCAGCTGTAAAATGTCGCAGAGGACGAACTGGATTGTTTGTAGGGGTGAATGGTGGTCTCAGGTGCGTAAGAAGCAATAAATGTTCACCAATTACTTACCTAAACGAGCGAATGCCCATGTACTTTTCTCTTGTAAGGTGTTTCTTAACTGTTCTGGGCCACCTGGTATCTCTCACGTCTGTCCAGAATTTATTTTACTTCTTCTATTTCAACATGTTTACGCCCTATAGCTTACGAACCTCTCATGTGCCTGGTTTTAATAATTTTCAGATCATTGTGGGATTTGTGATGGATATGAGCTTTAGATCGCTTTCACATCCCGTGGTCTGTGCAGTTAATACTGATGTCCTTTACCATTTTAGTTTCCTCTTACAGTATTTTCGGCTATTGGCATTTTATGATCTGGTCAAGAAATCTGGCGTTTTCTTATGGAACGAAACCGTGTTCACAGAAACTGGCTACTTTACCCTATCCTGAAATATTCTCTACCCAGACACTCCTGCTGTTGCTTTAAGGACCGTGTTTTTGGGCTGTTGTTCTCTCATCGTCTTAAGGTTTTCCGCCTGAAATGTATGTTAGGGTAAATTTATTACAGTTCGTATTCTGCTAAATGTGCATTCTATCTTATCGTTGCTGATTTAATTCAATTCAATTCAATTAATTTATTTACGTGTTTGCCAACAGCAAGAAGCCAATAACAGGCAAACACTGATAATATATACAATAATAGTGAAATAATAATGGATAATATTACACAAACGGATTAACTAAACTTATACATGTACAGTATTAAATATAACTGCCAAGTACAGGCAAACCCAAAATAGAAACAATATTAACACAGAGCAAAAAATGAAGAAGGCTAGAGGAAAAATCCTCTGCCCCCGTCGGGGATCGAACCCCGGTCGTCCAGCCCGTAGCTAGTCACTATACTGACTGAGCTATCCCGGCTCATGCTGATTTAGGTACCATAACTATATTTTAGGGAGAAAACGCATTTGTCATCATTATCTTGTAGATGCTTTGTAAGCTAAGGAGTTTATAGAATTTCTACAGATTATCTGTGAATCAGTTTTGTTCCGGCATTCTGTTTATGTAATACAAGTACAATAGGAGCAGCGAACGATCAACTGGAATGGTTGACGAGAATCGAAGTAACGTTAGGTGTACAGTAAGCATTCTAAGATACAGGCCTATTTTCTTGCATGATGGGCTTAAGGGGTGATTTAGCGAGGAGCAAGTCAGTTCAGCGATAATTTTGACGACGCGGAGCCCTGAGATGTAGGCCTGAAGCACCTCTGAAACTTTTGTCTACCAGACGACACGACGAAGTATCCCAGAAGACAGCCACCTTCTTACTAGTCGCTGTGAGAACCTCAAATTTACCGAACTTATTTTTGCTAATGTTTAATTACAGTTATCTGTGCTGAGGAACGAGCAGTCGTCATGGATACTGCGGTAACTCCGACGCGATCAGCCGACGATGGACCAAGAAAATTCTTCGTTGCAGGCGTCGAAGTGGAGTTCCCTGTTAAACCTTACAAATGCCAAATATCTACAATGAACATGGTGAGGGCATCTCTTGGCGTTCCCGCGAACTACTTGCGTGTTTGAGTGCAAGAGTGGCTGACAGTGCTTTGTTGTTGCCCTGAATGTGTCCCGACATTTACTGTGGACGTGCTCTAGGCCTTGTGCTTTCATTCTGTTTGTGACTGCATTTGCACTCCTGTAAATTTTTGTCCCAGAGAGCATGAAATTTGGGGGAAAGTTTGTGATGTGGGCTTGTAGGTAGACGTAAATGATTTGGATGTGCAGTCCTGAAACTTAAAAGCCTACATGGCGTTACACCCCCAGAAGACCATATTCGCACTGTGAAAACTTCGAATCTCATATTTTTTTTAAATTATTTTTGTCTCATTTGTTATGCACTGAATGAGAAATGGATTTGAGTAAAATAACACAAGTTTACGATTTACACATATTTTACAGTCATGTTTATGTTCCTATAATATATCGAGCCATTTCTTAGGAGTAATAAAATGTAGAACGCAACTAATTTGGGCCACTTGACTACGATTTTTCTGTAGTTCAAGAGCTTTCCTTTGTTCTGTGCAGGTGATCCGTGGTCTTCGTCACTTGTCCAATACAATAATCGAGAGTCCAACTGGCTCGGGCAAAACGCTGTCCTTATTATGCTCGACCCTTGCTTGGCAGAGAGCAGAATTTGGTGAGTTACTTTTTTTTATGCTTGCAGGGCACGTGGCGTGGGTGCACAAACTCTCTATCCTAAGAGGGATTTGTCTCTAATTTTTTCTCTCAGAATTTCTTAATGAGAATAGGCGAACTAGTTAACAACCTTACAGCTAATATGTGTTCCGAATTATGACTGTTTTTGTATATAATATCAGCCTTTCATTCCACAGAAACATTTGCCTGATGAAAAGTTTGCGTTTAGAATCACTTTAGATTATTGCTTTTAAAATACTAGAGCAACGCGCTCCTTTTGGAGCGCATTCTTTGGTCTGATGTTTTAGTTCTTTACGTCGCTGTTCAGAGGCCAACTGTTCTTGGTCAGTCAACTTTCTACGTCCAACTCCACCCTTGCAAATCTTCGTCTTAAAATCGATCATAAAGTCAGTTTTCATAATACTTTCTTAATCGTAATATATCGAATGAGTATTATAACTTGAATGAGTAGTATTATTAGTATCAGTTTGTTGGTGTTGGTACTTCAAATAGTAGATAACGTCTTCTTTCACTTTTCTTCATTTCTTAAATAGGTCTGATGTTTTAGTTCTTTATGTTTATCACGTCTACATCCACTGGATTGGTTGTTCCCTTCTCAGCTCGACTGCGGGAAATCAGAGCGACTGATTTCCCCAAACCCTAGCTGTAACACTGTAGATGGAAAATTCCTGGTGTAATTAATTTGATATGTTTTGGCAAGGCTGTAGTTCATAAGTTTGCGAAAGGTCGCATTTCCATTGACCTTGCCGTATTATTACTAATTTCGTAGAAACGAATCCTCTAAAAGCAAATACGTAGTTGCCCAGCTAGTAAGGAAATCCTCTGCCATTTGTGGAACCCTAAGATTCATGAAAGTGTTCTTAGACGATTATTAACCTTGGTACGTGTACCACATAATTAGATGACCACATTTGATCTTCCATAAGCAGCTGCTACAGATCATTGTTTTGTGCTCGTAGTAAAGTGGAAAACATGCAATCGGCAATGCGTTTCGCCATTTTTTCTAACTTCAGTATAATCTGATCACATAAACATGTAAAATTAAAATTTTTAGTTATGTGAACTTACGTTTCTTTTCGTCATCCACCACAGAATAATATAAGCTTACCGTTCAAAATTTATTCCCAATGTCTTCTGCTTCATAAGTCATTATGGTCAGATCTCGTTTGGCGCCGCATACTAACCTTTACAGTTGACACAACGTCGTTAAGTACTTTGTCACATAACACCCACTACGATGATAAATAGACCCTGTCTCAGGAATTAAAAAGAGGCTTGCAGTCGTTAGTTTTGGTTTGATGTAGTTGTGTGGTTGTTGCTGTGTGACGCCGAATTAATTCATAGGAGCTGAGAGTTCTAGTGACATCTGTGCCTGGCGCATTGTACACTGACTCGGGGTGGTACGATTTTGGCCCAAGTTTTCGTGCTGTTGGTTCATCCCCCTTTCCCACGGGGTACAGATTTGATAAGGACCGCGTATTGTCACCTACGTGTCACAAGTGGTTCACTGCGTGTGTTCACAGTTAATTAGCTTGAACTTCAAGCCGTGTATTGTCTCTGTGTTTTATTCGTGGTTTTCCTCGTCAGTACAGACAGCGGATGTATCAGTTGGACCCATCACACCGGGTTTGCGTGAAATAAGGAAATTACGTATGTCCTTCCTGTCCTGTAGCCGGGACAGGTCGTATTGCTTGAGGTATAATTTGTTCTGACATGTTGTCAGCTACTGTGTGAAGGTAATGGCAGACACGCATTTTTTTTGCTTTGCTTTTCTGTTTCGGAAGGAAGTTTCGTACTAACCCGTGCTAGTTCTGCATGACACAACAAACAAAAGAAATACGTTTCTGTCTTAATGGATAGTTTTTGACAGCTTTCAGATATTCTGTACACGTCACATGTCATAGTTTCATTGTAATTACTCAGAACTTTGTTTTCAACGTAAGGGGTTCTCAGTGGATGGTACCATTTGTTGCTGCCGACCGCGAATTGAGACGGATTATGTAGGATTTGAGTCTGAAGATGGCTGTCTTATGGGTTGTTGCGCCGTGTAATCAGGGCGATCGCCCTGGTGATGGAGGCAGCAAGGACCTCTGAAACGTCGGTCCACCAGACTACACTGCGCAACAACCCAGAAGACAGCCATCATCTGAGAAAGATTATTTCTCCCTCTTCTCCAGATGGCCAGATCATCGAAGATATGTAGCTTAGGTTTAGGTCTTTCTTTGTTCATGAAGCATCAAGGTGAGTAGTCAAAGTCTGTAATGCTTTTGAAACTTCGAACTTTGGACAGAGGTCTACAGATTTTGTGTGATTATGCGTTAAATGTTTTTACTTGTGAAACGTGTTATAAAAGTGTATGTACCCAGTATAGATGAGCCGGGATAGCTCAGTCAGTATAGTGAATAGCTACGGGCTGGACGACCGGGGTTCGATCCCCGACGGGGGCAGAGGATTTTTCCTCTAGCCTCTGCATCCAGACCGGCTCTGGGGCCCACCCAGCCTCCTCTACAATGGGTACCGGGGTCCTTTCCCGGGGGTAAAGCCGGCCCCATCTAGTGCCGAGATCATGAATGAGTGGGAGCTGTACGACCACTCCCCCCAAGCGCCTACATAGCGTATAGTAGGACAAACTTTACTTTACTTACCCAGTATAGACCGTTAAGTTGTAAAATTATTAATGCAATATTTACGTAAAGTACTCGTAATGAAAGCTGAACGGTCGTACGCTTTTATGAGTCTGTCCTAGAAACTACCGGAAAGATTTCGATGAAATTTAGATTAATGGTCTCCATAGAAAGCCGTAGAGGGAATTTCTTTATTTATACCGGTCAAATACAGGCCTCATACCTATCTTTTTCTTGAATCTCAGATAGAATTCTTATAATTTTGCTCAAAAACTGAACCGTATCAACTATGTCTCGTTAACTTTACTGTCATTTTTCATTCGTCTGGTCGGACCGACGCAAACTTGGGATCGTCCTGTACAGCCTCGTGAACTCCTGTCGTGCAGTTGCGTGATAATCGCGAAGTGCCCACTTGATTTCTAATTGTCGGCAAGTTGAAGGAGGAAAACTTTGAATTCTAACAATAAAATTTTTTATGGTGGTGAAAAAGGACTTCACTGAGATAAAATTCAGACTTTTGTTGTGCGTCAAATCCACTTTTATCTTAGATCGTCTTCGTAATGTGTGTCATGTATTGTTTCTTTCAAGACAAAAAGTGAACCAGGAGCAAACTCTGCTTGTTCGATGTTACCGAGATGTCTGGATTCAAAACTCCGTGTACCGGGTAACGAAAAGAAACTAAAAGCAGGCCCCTATTACATCAAACGCTGAGTCAGGTTTTCGCAAAATTCTATTATACATGCCAACATTTTGTGTTATGTTTTTGTGTTATCCTATTATTGGGCATACACAAGAATGTGTTCTTTGCAGTTCTCATTTCTGCAAAGAAAATTCGATGCATCAGGCTACTATCTAGAATTGTCGGCTCTGATATAATTTTAAGAATAAGATGTGTGCAAACCTGATACCCGCTTGCAGTGATAACACTCCAGACGTGGTTTCAGTAGCTCTTTCGTTTGATTCGATTCGTAAAAGATACCATAAGATTTCAGCTACGCTGCATAACATTGGCATAAAGCCTGCATTTGTTACGTAGATCACAAATTTGACGTATTTTAAGTTGCATCAGTATTGAAAGTAGTGAAGTTTCGCTAAGAAGCAACAAATTGGAACGTACACATACCATAACATTCAAGGCAGATTTGCTGGGTTATTGCCTCTAGATTTTCAATTTCTGAACATTGGATGTGAGGTGGTTCAACAGTTCTCTGCAAGGACCTCCAATATAAAATGTGATTAAAACCAGTCTAACGGCTTTCTAATAGGGCCTGTGAGGTCACGTAGCGCACAAAATTCCTTTTTGTTTAATTATCTCTGAAGCCGGAAAACTGTATTGGGCATAAAATGTGTTAATTTTTCTCTAAGACTTTCGTTCGAAACTTTTTTTCGCTCATTTAAATATTTCGTGATGTGTGCAGAAACGCAACTGAAGTTCTGTTTGCCCGATTTTAATCAGAATTAAAATGTGTCGATACAGTTTTAGTAAAATTTTGGAAATATGCCATGAAAATCCGTTTAGCTTTACATGCATACGGACGGTTAATTATGGTGAAGCTAATAATTTCATTTTTGAAACTTTTTGTTGCTAACGCTCCAGAAATGTGCACATAACTCGTCTGAACAGGCCATCGCCATGACTGTCGAACTGAAAACAATAAATGGAAATCAAAGATAAAATTGTGTTCTTGACGTCGTAGTTACGAATCAGTCTATACAAACAGCCTTTCTCATGAAGATTTAAAGAAATGTCTGCCATCCAGCGCCAGAACAGAGTTCCCACAAGTTTTCATGCACAATCGATTTTTGCAGTAGTGTTTTCCTTTGACCTTCGATCTTGTCGGGAGATGAAAAGACGGTCCTCATAATTGTTCCACACAACACAGAAGTCTTTGCGCCATAGTTTTCCGGTGCTTCGAAGTTCTTTTGTTTTATTACTATTCTGATGTGCAGTATTAAAGTTGCAAATTTTTTTTTCTGAACAAAGGGTGGCGTTGCGGTTTTAAGTCACACACGTAGAGCCTCCGGGTTATAGGCAATTCGTAATTGTGTTAGAACCTTTTTTTGTTTTGTTTTTTCTGTGAACGAAACGTGGGGAGGGGGCAACTTATTGTGTGGGTATTGAGTGCTGTAGGCAGTAAGCCTAGCGTTTGGTGACGTTTGTATCGTCAGTTATTATTGCATTTCTTTCTTCAGTGCCGAGTTGTTATTCCCTTTTATAAGGGTCATACTTTATTTCGTGTCGGAAGTAACTTTGTATGCAAAAGAATACTTGTTATGGTGGTGGAGAAGTTTTGAAGACTAAAGTGTTTCTTTTGTCTTCGTAAACGATTATTTAGCACGAACATTGTAACTCGGT